CTTCAACCTCATATCAGTCCCGAATAGGAGCTTAAAAGGCGCAGTGCCGATACTGCGGTGAGGAGTTGCATTCAGGTAGTTTTGGCATACGTCTGGGTACCTGTGCCACTCATCAGGTTTTGGTGCGGCCAATTTAGTTAAGACAGGAATGATCGTCCTGTTCACTCTTTCTAGCTGGCCATTCGCTCTTGCCATACCCGTCGTGATAAGGCCAGCTTCAATGTTTTCTTCTCTGCAGTACTCCTGAAACTCTGCCGAAGTAAATGCAGTTCCACGGTCCGAAATAATCTTCCGGGGATTGCCAAAAATTGTCGCTTGTTTTTTTAAATGGTTGACGACCTCTCCAGTGCCAGTAGATTTTGTAGTATAAAGCCACACAAATTTAGAAAATCCATCTATTACTACGAATATGTGTTTATAATTCTTCCGAGTTGAGGGGAGAGATCCTAAGTGGTCAACGTGGTACACATCTAACGGAACGTCTCCTTTGTCGATAGGATATAATAGTCCGTCTCGTTTTCCAGACTTCCGTTCAGCTAAAATACACGCAATGCAATTCTGAATCACTTTTTCCACCTTAGGTCTTAGACCTTTGAACCAATAGTCTTTTCTAACAAGGGTCTCGGTTTTACCACTAGAGAAGTGTCCGTTCTCATATAACTGTCTTATTATTTGATTTTGCATAGCGCGCGGCACCACTATGCGAACATCATCGTCAATCACCTTAAACAAAAGTCCGTTTCTTATTACGTAGTCGCCACCATTATTTTGTGCACCGTTCACAGAATCCATTATTTCAGATAATCCTTTGTCCGCACATTACGCTTTTCGCAATCTCACAAGCACGCTAGTCTCGCACTCATTAACAAGCATACACACCGGAACAGGCTTTCGACTTAACGCATCGACATGTCGCATATTACTTCCTGAGCGATGTTCAATAGTATAATTGAACTCCTCTAACAATAATGCCCACTTGCAACTCGAACACATAAGTCTCTTTTTTTCATAGTAAGAGTAAACGCACGACAATCGGTTACTATTCTAAATGGTATCCCTAAAAGATAAACTCTAAACTTATGTAACGCTTTAACTATAGCTAATATCTCTAATTCATAACTAATGTATCGCGATTCTGCCTCTGATGTTTTCCAACTGGCATAATATGTTGGATGGTAACGTTGATCGACATCGTCCTTCTGTAACAGGATGGCACCGAGCCCGACACTCGACGCATCCGTATGGAGCTCTGTTTCCGCACCCACGTGGTATAATTTTAAAACCGGCTCCTTGCTCAATGCAATTTCCAACTGTTGAAACGCTAGCATGTGTTTTTCATTTAGTTCAAATTTTATGTCTTTTCTCAACAAGTTCGACAAAGGTTGGGCTATTGTTGAATATTGTGGAATAAATTTTCGAAAATACCCACTTAATCCTAAGAAGCTCTGCACGTCTCTAACACTTTTTACTAATGGAAAATTCATAACAGCTATTGTCTTACGCTTCGACGGACGTACGTGACCATCCTCAATTATGTAACCTAGATATTCTATGCTACGTTGAAGAAAACGACATTTCTTCCAATTTACTCGCAATCCATAATCACTTGCAATACACAATATCTCACTCAATCTCGATACGGCTTCATTTTCGTCACTCGCAGGAATAATTAAATCGTCTATATACGTCAAAACAACACCTGTCTGTATCGGATTACGAAATATGCTATTGATATATTTCTGAAAGATAGCTGGAGAATTACAGAGGCCAAATGGGGTTCTTAAAAATTCAAAATGCCCATCAGGTACTATAAATGCAGTGTATTTACATCTATTTTCCTCAATCGGGACATGGAAAAAACCATCTTTTAAGTCAAGGGTACTAAATATCGTCGCGCCCTGTAATCGATCCAGCTGATCCTCTATCAATGGAAGCGGATAACGATCTTTACATACTTTCTTATTAAGCAATCTATAATCTATACACAAACGCATTCCATTATCTTTCTTTTTTACAAGTACAATCGGACTAGCGTATTCCGACGTACTTTCCCGCACTATTCCTTGTTGCATCCATTCATCTATCTGCTTGTTAACTATTTCTCTTTGCACTGGCGCTAATCTACGTGGAGGTTGATATATAGGTATATCATCTTTCAATACAATTTCCATTTTAATGTTAGACTCTTTAATGGTTTTAGGCTCATAACTATTTATTATATATTCTATCCCTTGTTTAATGGTATCATTTTTAATATGTTGCAAATCTATTACAGAATCAGTTATGTTGTTCTCGGACTCATCGAAAGTATTTATGCAAAATATTTCCGGTACATCATAAGAATTTGTTACTTTATTATCGCGTTTCGAAACCTCAACATTTTTGCCGTCTAACATTAATTTAGCCTCTTGCAATAACTCTGAGCCAATCAAAAAATTGTGTCTTAAATATTCATCCGGTACCACATGAATTAAAAATCGGAAAATATTTTTATCAATTTGTACGTCCGCGTAAAAACTGCCTAAAGTAGTGACTTTACTTAAACCAAATCCTTTACAAGATATTTCTGTACCGTGTAAAATTGGACATCCTAACCTGATATATTGCTCGGCCTTCATTAAGTGCAAATCGCTGCCCATATCCATAAACGCTACTACCTGCTTACCTAATAATATTACCGGCTTGTATATCTTATTGTCCCGAACGGCCACTGCCGTATATTCATTTACTTGCTTATTCTGCCCCTTCGTACAATCTACGGCTCTGTGCCCAAAGTCCCGGCAGGCGAAACATCTCGGACCTTTGCTTTTAACGGGGCAGTCTACACCTCGATGGTTCCTTTCACCGCAATTAAAACATTGTAACTGGTTATTCGGCACTTCTTTAGCGTCTTGTTTCACTGTTTTCATCGGTAACCACTTATTTTCTTTTGGCTTGGTCGCTGGGTTGAACGGCAACGATCTTCCTTGCAAATAAATCCTGTTAAATGCTGCTAGCAGTTCCCCCTTAGTAGCAATCTTCTGCACTCGTGCCAGATCTCTTAATCCACGATCAGGTATTCCTTCTACGATATACTCTATAATTTCCGTGTCACTGATTGGCACGCGGTTTCCTAATATAACATTTTGATGCACGTATTCACTAAACGTTTCTTCTTTCCTCCAAACACGTGCCTCAAAACGTCGTCACATTTCCAGAACGCTCCCAGGATGGTACAACATGTCTTGCAAATTCCTCAGTAGTTCTTCTACCGACATCGCAATATGTTCAGGCTTCGAGTGTAACCACTCCAGTGCATTACCCTTCAGTCGCGATCCCATTAACAATTTGGTCATATCATCCGTCAGCTGATATGTCATTTTCAGTGTTTGAACTTGTCGCTCCCACGTGACGAATGTACTGCTGCTCCCATCAAAATGACTTAATAAATCCGCAATGGCAGAAATATTTACCGGTGGCGGTCGTCTTTGCCCCGTCGGTACGCTTGCAGATTCTCCTGCCTCACCTCTATCGAGATTAAGCCTTTGCATTTCTCGAAGTAAACCAATTTGCTGACGAGCTAATTCAAGCTCTCGCTCTACCAACTGTTTTTCCCGTTGCGAAAGTTCAATTTCTCGTCGCATCTGTACTATATCACTCGCGCAACCTGAACCATTCTCACTCGCAATTTCTTCAACCGCGCCGTCTGTACACATTGTTAACCATTCGCCGGTCAGATCGGCCTCATGCAGACGCTGAATCAGTTCCGCCTTCAAACCAGAAGTTGAAAGTCCCTTTTCTCGTAATTTTCCTTTCAATTCTGCGATGCAGAAATCACTTGGATTCCTCCTTACTGAAGCCATTTTATTGACCACCACAACTATAAATTGCCACTTTCAACACTAGTCCTCGCAGTCTTCACTCTACACTTACACCTCAGCCCTTTAAGTAAACTCTGTTCTCAAAATACTTTACTAACAACTCTCTAGTTGCACAATTTCGGAATGTTCACACTAGGCGTTTTGCTATGACTCGGTTTAAGTTCTAATCCCGGACGAGCCCCCAATTTGTAGGAAATAAAATTAAAATGTAGATAAAGAACGTTAAATTTATTTAAACATATAACAAAACGAAAATAGTAATTACACGCTACGTCTCAACTCTCGTGTCGACTCTTCGACGACTCGCTCGACTCTGCCTTTTTACAGGGCCAGACACGCGCGACTTCCAAACGAACGACGCCACACGCAACATTGTCGCCATCGATATCGACACCGTTTTCACAAACAATCATTCGATTCCAAGTATTCGTTACTCACTCATACCACTCATGATTCACACACACACACCACACTACCGACCCGTTCGCGACCGTTTCCAAGAACCGACGGAACAAATTTTCCAAAGTCGGCTCAGCGACTTCACCTTGTTCACTATTCATTCTTACGAATTCGAGCGATCAAAGAATACAACGGCTACTATGCGTTCTAACTTTGCGGTCTTGTATCCCACTTCTGATGTTAGAAATTATATAGTCTTTGAGAATTACGAGACGTTCACACGATCAGAGTTCTGGGGTAAGTGCCGTGGGGTTCATCACAGTCCTCTTACCAAAAGGCAAAGCCTTCCCCACTCCGTGGCCAGATCCTTCTCGAACATCCTTATCTCAGTACACGTGCCATGACTTTAGGTCATCGGCCACACGCGTCTAGTTCGGCGGTTGGCAATCGGACCCTTAGTTATCGATTCGTAATCATAACATCCGCGACGGTGTCACCGATCCTAACTGCATCGGCCAACCTCTTCTAATTTCCTGAGGCTATTCCTTACACCAAGTGACCTCCGAGACACGTGTACGACCCCGACACGTGTCTTAGCTTCGAAAAGCATTTTGACGCTAACATATATTCCATGTATATTTTCAATTGTTTTATACTTGCAGTGTATTTATTTAGTATTTACGTCATCCTATTGTTGCTACTAAAATTTTGTTAGTGTATCGTTTAATGTTTGTGTTTCAGTGGGGAAGGATCTCATCAATCTGGCTGCAGCGAAGACAGAACACCAGGTGCAATGGCAAGAGCTATCACAGTTCATGCGAACACAAAGCGGGTTATGTACTTTGCATAATTTTTCTTCTTTGAATCTTTCTCATACACATGTAACTATATAATATCATAAAATTATAATCACCATATCTTGCATGTGGATATTTCTAGACTGCTTAAATGCTAGAGAATTAATCTTCTTACGTGGCCAATTTTTTTGCTTATTTAAATAAGTCTGCCCAATATCTGAAATGTGTCGAACAATCTTATATCGAATTATATCTTTTTCTTTTTTTTTTTCTCTTTTTTTTTCTTAGTATTCTATTTAACATATCGACTAGGTTTTAGACGGACTTTCTAAACATTTTAGGAAGTAGGTTTTAAAAGAGGTGCTTTTAGTTAATCATGTTTTCGATTAGATTATGACGTACACAGCTTGACTGATGGATCGTTTTGCGTTAGGGACTAAATGAACGAGGATAATAGAACAAACAAATCAGCTGTCGTGCATATTACGCTTATTTTATTTTTAGAGGTTGAATTTTGTAGGATACAAAATAGTACTCTAGCATTTATAGGGTACAAAAACACACTGTTGCATGAATTCATAATTGTATAAATCGCTTTTCACGAGATTGTTATCTCGTTTATGCGTAATTATCGTATTGTGTGGGATGAATCAACTATTTTTTGTAAAAAGACTAGACGTACGGAGTCACGCGTTGATGAAGAAAAAAAAAAGAAATTGGCATGCACTATTATCATGCCCCCAAGCATATTTACGATTATGCTCATACGATTCTCTATAAATATATTTATGACACCTATTATATTTATCTTAAGCATTAAAAAAATTGGTCACGTTAAGTAATGAAATGTTGATAGGGAGATGAAAATAAATAAAAGGTTTGTTATTTGTCAAAGTCTTCAAGCCAATGGCCAAAATAAGTTAGGAATTTATCATAATAAAATCCAAATACCAAGTTGATTAAACACAGTGTTATATAATATCATAAGAGTTGTAAACAACATTGTGCCACATTGGCTGGAATAATATCTTTTATTTTTGAGTTTCGTCTAAATCTAATGTCATTTGTTGGGATTGTTTAAGATACTTAGAACATTGATTTGAACAGAGGATAGTAAATTGGGATATTTTCGCATAATTACTAACGATTGGGAATAACGCGTATAATGAAGAGTTATTGTATCCAGAAGTTTATATGGCGAAATACGATATCACTGAATCATTATTACGCGGAATGAAAACCGAGGTTTTGTATTATATTTGTTTTAGCTTTATTTACATTGTTCTCTGCGTGTGGCATCGAAATCATTGTACGCTTATGTCTGAAAAGATAAGACACAGCTTAAACCGGGGTAGCAATTTATTCATATCAATTTCACATTGTTGTAAACATTCGGAGGGGGGCACGAACGGGTATCTTTTTTGCGGTGTGTACGACAATGGAGCGATATCTGTTCAAAGAAACAAAAAAAAAAAAGTTGTCCTTAAGTTAAACCTACATGGCATTAGATTTGGGCTAATGACAAAGTCCCAACAATGCAAAAAACGATTTGAGTAAAAGTAGGGTAAGGATAATTTAGTGATTGCAAACTAGATGACAAATATAATGTGGAATTATATACGGAATTATATAATGTGAAATCATAGGATAAGTTATATTTGTCGTATAACGCAAATTTTAAAGTCATCAAATTTTTATTTTAATGAATTCTTCAGTAATGATTCGTGCGCAAATAGAATCTATTTACATGGAACAATAATCTTAATCACAATAACTGAGCCTCACAATTAAGAGCCTTACAAGCGACTACTACATCGTAGAGCCAATAGATAGGGTAATGAAATGTATAAATATGTATTGAATACCGTGCGCGGGAAATCGTTTGCTGTGTATTAGAATCATTAATACACTGGCGAAGTTTCAGGCGATCTCGTTGTTTTAAACGTAATCATTTCAACAATTACAATATTATTTAATTTCTTTTCATACAATAGTATTAATAACAAGACAAAGATCATAAGAAACCAGAAAGTATCATAGATCATGAATAATCGTTATCGACTGTGTTGATGGGGTATTAAAAATTTTCCTTAAATTATAAAAGTTCTTAAAATACATGCAATAAAATTTGATGGTTATTGCGAGCTGTGACACATGGAATGTATAAAATATTGTGTATTAATGATTCTAATTGTAGATTTATAAGTACTAAAATGTTAATATTATCGCGGAAAGTATGAAAAGGACCCTCATATACCAGTAATTAATATTTATTCTAGTTGTAAATTTAAGTCTGTAATTTAGAGACCCACTTACAGTTACATAACGCTTATTAATAACATTTAATATCTACTTTCTAACTTCGTGAAAAATTAGGTAATTTACTAATTATTATTTGAACGTGAGTAAAGTTTGGAGCATAATCTGTGGTCGTTCGCAACGATAGCTCAACGGTTAAATTAATTCCAAATAACAGAAGGCAGCAGATAAACGAGCACAGATATTGACGGTGGTATAAGAAAGTAAAGAATTGCAAGTTACGATCAACGTGGGGTGGAAAAGTTTATTATTTGTGTTGTTGAGGGGGTATAAAGGAACCAAAATGTCCGAATGTGAAGAGTTTAATTGTTAGTAATTAAGAATCAATTCCATTCATAATGAGGCCATACAGATGTAATAGTGTTTAAGTAAACCCATACGCTGCAAATAGCCTGCAGTCTATGTGTAATCGGTGCGCAAGTAAATACCAAAATTGAAAATATTATCGAGTAACTAGGAAGTCAAAGATAAGCTTGAAGTTTTAATTACATTTTACTGTATGTCTTTCTGTATCTTAAAATTAAGCAGTCGCTCCGACGAGACTTATTTCGGAGATCTGCGATAGTACTTGATATTTTCCTGCGCCCGATCAAGGAACTGACCTCCATTTGTAAATATACTTCAGTAACTTATCTATAAATCATTTCCCCCATTTAGTAATTAACGTACGATGGGCAAAGAATGGAATCTTACAAAGATTTTTGTAATTTTTAATTCGACGCAATGAATTGAGGTATTAGTTGTATATTGTTTAAAAATCTTTTTAATCTGGTGCGACAGATGGCATTAAAAGAAAGCAATTGAATATTAAATGTTGATATACACAGAAACGCAAACTAAACTTGTACCTAATACGTTTAAAGAAAAAAAAGGAAAAAAAAAAAAAGGAAAATAATAAGACAACTTAACTGTCAAGGAAACGGGTTTATGAAATGAACTTAGTGTGTAATAAAATAACCGAGTCTATTCACAAAACACAAGAGTTTTCTTCCTACCACGTGTCCCAGATATTTTAAAATAAGGCAAATAATTTATATTTGTATATCAGATATATATTATATATATGTGAAAATTTACTGTATTGCATTTGTTAACAAATGCCGCGTGCAAAACATACATATGAATTATACAATTCCAGAATTAAGGTAACGACAAACATCTTTGTATTTGGAAGAGCGTCTTAGATTACGTCTTAATTGTATTTTGCATGTGATCGATTTTCGTAATTAGTAAGCCGTTTTTATTTTTAAACAACGTTTTTGTTCCCGCGAGACCCATAATTGTCAATGATTTTTAAATGGTGTCCATCGATAAGCTACTACACATACAGATTAATCGAATTAAGTTCGATGCGTAACGATAATTGTTAAAGCTATTGAATGTCTACTAAATTATTTCACAGTATAAGTATTAATTGATCAATAATTTCATTGTAATACGATGCGTGCACAAAATTGTATAGGGGAGTGGCGATCTTTTTTCTTTAGTATTCGTAAGTGACTCGTAAAGCGCCACCAAAGCCTTGACGTTGCGATATTATGAGTTTTAAAAAAAATTCTACTTAGGTTTATCCTAAAAGAAAAAAAAAAAGTAAAGCGTGTTAATGAGATTAGCACTATGTTTAGATGTTAGAGGATAATGGTCAACTTCTAGGAAATGCAAACAATTGTTTTGAAAACAACAAGGTTCTGAATGAATCGGACATGTTTGAATACCTAACGAATACGTGAAATAGATGTAATAGTTTCGTATAGTATACAAAAGAAGAAGAAGAAGAAGAAGAAGAAGAAGAAGAAGAAGAAGAGATGTTTAACGATATTTTTACGATGTTACAGTTTGCTTTTCCTACGAATTTTTGACCATTATCGGTCGACGGCCCGTAGGGGAACATTTCTTTGCGAGAGCATCAGGAACTTATATTATCATAGTATAAATTTACTTTACTTAAGCAGTAAAAAGCGTACGCGAGAGCGCTTAAGTGAATAGATGTAAAAAAAAAAAAAAGAGAAATGTCAGCTTTAAGAATGTCAGAACCTCGAACAAGATCAGTGATGGCGTTCCCATTGAATAATGAATTAATCCAAGCTTCATTATATAGTATCGTAGATTTATAATTATCTAGATATTTCTCGTTTCTAAATGTGAATGTGTTGTACCTACCAATGAATATCGCACGAATAAGCATATTGAACTAAGGGGGATACGACGAGGATTCTTAATAATGATAATAATTAGCCAACCATAAAAGTAACGCTTTATAGGCTAAGCTGATTTCTTCTTTACACGCGCTTCTCCATCAGTGATCTCAAAGAATGCTTGTGCACCTTTTATTATGTTGCTGTATGTTAAAGCACGAGCTCTTTTGATCTTTGCGATAACGGGCTCGAGCATCGTAATTATCGTAAGGAAAAGAAAATATTTGCAACTTTGTAATTTCGAAACTGAATTACAATCGAATATGATTGCTGTTTGTAGGAAGTCTGTCGGACGACTTTTACTGTACCAGTAGAATAATATCGATAATTTGAGCAATTTGCAATGTTTCAGATTAATCGTAATCACTATTTTGTTAATGCAAAAGTGATGCAAATTTCTTTAAAAATTATTGCGTATTTTATAGAATCGTGTACAACGCGTTTAAATCAAAATTAATTCAATCAGTTCGATTAAAAATAAATGTAATTAACGAATATTATATCGCGAGTGTAACGTTTTTGTCGCTCGTACGTGGAATTAAAATATTTTTTAAATACAATTGTTGCGTTCAATCGTGTACCATGATCGACAATTAGTAAGAAATTAGACGTTGATAAAGTATTATTAAACGAGTCGAAACTTATGAAACGTTTCTTTTAAACTTAAACGCTAGGTTCAAGCTTAGTTTCTGAATTTTCTGATACAATCAAACATAGCATGTTACTATCGATTTAAGCGAAAATTGCATTTACTTTTGTATCAATTCGATCCAGTGATATATCGTTGTAATTTCTAGCGTTTAATGCACGACTTTCTCGACGAAGATACAATAGCATAAGCTCATGAGAGTGTACGTGTAAAGCTTGTTGTGAATGTAAAGAAAGTATGCAGTAAGAAAATATTAAAATCACAAATGAAAAAAAAATTGAAAGACTGTTAAAAAATGCGATGTTCGATACATTTTAAATTATGATCGGCTTTATCGAAAGGCGTTGCCGGCAAGTGGAAATAGACAAAATGAATAGTGTAAGGGCAACAAAACACTTGGATTGGCAAAGTTTCTCGAATGGGGCTGATCGTAATAGAGACGCGATGTCAGCTGTATAGTTTCAAAAAACGTTGAAACAATTTTTAAGTGAAGTAATCAAAGTCTGTGAAAAATTACGATTTTGTTAAAATTTGTGTCGTTTCATGTTGCATGTGTGCCGTTTTATTTTCGAGCTTTTATTACAAAAAAAAAAATGTAACAGAAACAAATATTAGAATGCTACTGTACCTGTTGAATTTTGGAAAATACAAATTCAAGAAAAATCTTCCCAGTATGAATGTTTAAACATCGTCAATAGAATTTGGTCAACACGTTCATTTAAAAAAAAAAGAGAAAAAATCGTCTCTGCCAAGACGATTTTGTTCGTACAGTTTCAACCGTTTGATAACGACAATTTTGTATGCTTGTACCATTTTACATATCTTTTATTGATTCATAAATTTATGTTCATTTTAGATAGCGTAATTTTTAGAAGCTAAAATTAGAAATTTCATAGTTATATTTTTTGTTGAGGTATTCGAAATGGATACTAGTATGTATTGTATAATACTTAGCGTATGTCCAATTAGGGTTTGAATTAGTGACACGTTTCGAAAAAAAGTAATGTTTTCTTTATTATTTTTACAACATAAGCTATCAATGTATTTTCAATTGAATATTGAATTTGGGAGTAAATAAAATTAATAAATCACAAAAAGTTAACGTATAATCGTTAAGTTCATACATGCACATTTATATCTTATAACAGTTTATTTATTAAAGAAAGGTGCAAAATGCAAGTATTATAACATTATTTATTTTACGTTATCAGAACAATGTCGTCCGTCCTACAAACTGCGCTGTTCAATTAAATTCGACATCCTATCGTGTGAAAAAAAAAAAAAAAAAATGTATATATCTTCTTTATATTTATCTATAAGTGCCTAGCGCTTATCCGCGCATGTTTGACGTGGCAAACAATAAATTTGAACTTATTATTGCGGGTGACGATTTCTCAAATTTTAAAGATAGAAAACACCATACGAAGGATAGAATGCGAGGGAGAACACAAGAAGTGAGAAATATGTAATATCGAGTACATATGAAAATGTAAGCGGGGTCACTATTTTCTGGATTTTGTAATTAGACATCCAGCCTTCACGTACAATAAAATTTACAATTTGTACAATACAATTATTACATATTTCAATTTCTATATAACACATGTGTAACATGTTATCAGTTTCGTATTATTGTATATACTCGTAGTGTCTTACTTCGTTGACCCTGTATAATCCAAATTTTTCTAGTGCATTCATGCTCATATTACATGTCAAAACTGTAGTAAAGTCGAAATACACGGAATGTAACACGTTCTTAAAATATTTCATCAGACTTTGAGAGAGTTTTACCAACCATGAGAATAAGAAATTTTCATGTATGTATAAGCACAAAATTTTATGTAAATTACATGAAAAATTATACAAAATTTAAACATGAACAATAAGCATTTTTTTTTGTTATTTTATACCGTTAAGATCGTGTACAAAAGAGATGCTAAGAACTTTAATACGCGAAAGGATAACGAAACACGAGATTTTAATTTAAAAAAATTAAGACCTCCCATGCATCTCCATCTAAACGAAATTAACGTTACTATACTACTTACATCGTGCTATATTTGTATCTAAAGAACAACAGAAATATTTCAGGTAGACAGAGTTTCTGCCCTACCATGTACATTAAAATTTGCGAACATATAACATTACACATACGTTCAGCTTACAAGAATGATTATTGATACGATTCTGAGTATTTCAAAGGCACAGTAATTGATTTTACGATGCTTCGTAAAAACTTTTGATCCGTTTTCGTTTGATCACAACGTTTTTTTAATGCAAAATGCTACTAACTTAAATATCAGTTAAATAACACAAATTGAAAAACATCAAATCCTAAAAGCAAATTTTAATATTTAGACATACGTAGAAATATTGTTTAAATTCAGTGTAAAATGTAATGATAAAATTTCTTATATACATACAATGGTCAGGGAAGAAGGAAATGATAGAAATGATACATCATAGATCAGGCATGGGGAGCCTGCGGCTTTTTGCATATTTCGTTAACTATAATATGTATTTACAATATGTGTAGATAATTCGTTCACGATAGAACTGGAACTACTCGATCAATTTACTAACTGAATTAACTGAAGTCCATGTCATACTAGTCAAATAATAGATCCAGATTCTTGATCAGTGCACGAAATATTTGACTAGTCAAATACTGAATTTATATTTTGCCGAATACAGAATAATTCGATAACTAACCACAGCGTCAGTCGATAGTACATGGATTTAATAAGATTTCGTCCATTTACGAGTACCTAAAAAGGTATTAACTTATGTCAAAAGATTTTTAAAAATTTCGATCAAACGAAACTTAGCGCCATGATGAATCCGCGAGGCGATATGCGGTCTTTCGATTCTAAAAGGCTCCCCACCCCTGGTACAAATGAACTAATGCATTTGTCTTCGAAGATTTCTGAGTCAGGCAAATTAGTTTTGACCATTAGATCGCTGTTACTTTGATATAATCTACATGAAGACCAACGCTGCTGTACCTCCACGTATTGAGCCAATTGTTTTTCGCGAGGTAGAAATTGTACAATGCCTGTAACACATAATATCATACAGTTAATGTTTTGTTAAATAGCGTTTGTTAATGTGTACAAGCGACTGCAAATACCTTCGAAGCTACGTTCCTCCAAGGTTTTTCGTAGTCGCCACTTACAGACGCGTCTGGAAAGAGGACGTGGCCACCGACAGCTAGAGCCACGTTAAGATAAACCTACAAAGACGAGTAAATAGTCACACATATTGTATGCTCATGTTTGGTAATGTTTCAGTTTTTATTTCACATTTGATGTGACTCTAAACTTGAAACAGGAATTTTATTCCATACTTTCTGGTGCCCTGACACCTCTGCTTACCGGTGTATCGTACAATGGCGGCACACTTTGTTCCCCGTATCGTTCCCCGTCGACTTTAACCGATATAATACCACTTTTCCATTCCAGCTCGTACACGTGGTATTCCTCGGACCACAGTTTGCTGGAAGTTCTCAGAGGAAGATTAAATCGAGTATTGTGATGAATAATCTGATTCAGATTAGTCTCGAATGCTCCTCCTATAAGGACGTGTCCACTTATGTCTATTCCATCGTGCGATCTGAGCATAGGATTGCCAAACGAATGACCGATTAGGACGACAGAATAGGATGACCTATTTACATTAAGAGAGTTCGCGTTCTCTAAAGTCAACACTGAAATAAAATAACAAGAAATAATGAAATTGCAAAATAGGACGTATCTGTCAATGATTATAATTATAAAATGCAGTGGTGCGTTATACCTTCATGGGGTTCGTGAGAAAACGGAATTTTAAGGTCTCATCGAGAAGTACTGTACAAGGTGTTCTGGGAAAAATTTTAATGGGAGATTCTAGAGGCCAAAATAAGACGAAAATCAAGAATACCAATTTGTTGATCGAGGCTTCGTTAAAAAATTATTAACAATTAAATTCAAAAATTTCAAATCGTTCTGGAAAAATTATTTTCGGTCGCGGGGGTCAATCACAATCATTTTTGGTGAACAGACATACCCTCGAAATCCTACCCACTTTCTAGAAAAAAATTTGAGAAGGTGTGAAATTTTACGATGAAAAAAAATTTCAAATCGTTCTGGAAAAATTATTTTCGGTTGCGGGGGTCAATCACAATCATTTTTGGTGAACAGACATACCCTCGAAATCCTACCCACTTTCTAGAAAAAAATTTGAGAAGGTGTGAAATTTTACGATGAAAAAAAAATTTCAAATCGTTCTGGAAAAATTATTTTCGGTTGCGGGGGTCAATCACAATCATTTTTGGTGAACAGACATACCCTCGAAATCCTACCCACTTTCTAGAAAAAAATTTGAGAAGGTGTGAAATTTTACGATGAAAAAAAAATTTCAAATCGTTCTGGAAAAATTATTTTCGGTTGCGGGGGTCAATCACAATCATTTTTGGTGAACAGACATACCCTCGAAATCCTACCCACTTTCTAGAAAAAAATTTGAGAAGGTGTGAAATTTTACGATGAAAAAAAAATTTCAAATCGTTCTGGAAAAATTATTTTCGGTTGCGGGGGTCAATTGCAATCATTTTTGGTGAATAGATATACCCCCGAATTCCTGCGCATTTTCGAGAAAAAAATTCAGTACGGGTGGAACTTTAAACGTTAACAACTTTTTAACGAAGCCTCGATCAACAAATTGGTACTCTTGATTTTCGTATTATTTTGGCCTCTAGAATCTCCCATTAAAATTTTTCCCAGACGCAGCTGAACACTCTGTATAATTTATTAAAAATTGGTATTAATAGTAGCAAGTGAGATTTTGCAACATTAATTCTGAAGGATAAATGAACTTTTTGCGTGGTATAATGCGCCACTAACAAGCTGGACGTTGCTATTATATTATATTATATTGCTTTTCGAAATGGTTTCCATACAAATGGAAAATTTTTGTTGAACAATAATGACCATGTTATTAATTGCAGGTTGAAGTTTGCAGTATGAAATAGAACTTACGAGGATACAGCCAGTCACCGCGCGGGAATTTCGCACGTATTTTAACATTTCCATACTTGAAATTGAAGGATGGTTTGGTATTCAAACGTCCTGATATTACAGGCGGTAAAATCTGCGGGCCAACCGCGCTTCGTCTGCATTCCGAGGTACCCATTTCGCCTGTACATCTGGTAATATATGTTAAATCATTTTTATATAATGCATAGTAATGGTATTTCATATCAGGGATTGTAATAACGTTATTCTTACTTATCTAGGACCAGGTTCCCACTACGTACGAATCCTTGCCCATATTTATTATCGGTAAGAACAGGTGTGATATGCAAGGCACCATCTTTAACTTCAACGATCTCTTCATTGTTCATGTACATGACAAATTCATCGTTCTGAAATTAAAAGATAAGAAACTTTTTCGTTATAAAATTATGGTATAAATAGATATTTGATATTATAAAAATGAAACTATGATAGATACGCTGCCGCGGAGCTCAAGATCAAGTTCATTAAGTTCAAAGTTCTGCTAGAAGAACAAAAATATAAAATATCTCGCGTAACTATGAGAAATCATAGCGTTAAAGGAATACGAGATAACAAATTTTACAATTATGCATGAAAGAGTGCACCACACAGACCTTCGATGTGTTTGATGTAATATAATTTATCTTACAATAATTGTATAATTAAAATTTCTTATTTTTCAATTAAATTTATTTCTTGTAATGTATTAATTTATACATTGCAGATTTTACAGTGGGTCTCGCTCTAAACAAACTTGAAAACGTTATTATGAAAGACAAGATTTTTAACAATTTTTTCCTGTACAAGTAGCTGTCGAAAAGTTTTAGTTTCTGAGGTGTTAACAAAAATGGTATCGACAAAACTGGTTTCGTTACCATTACATTGAATGCTGTCTATACTAGATGATTATGCAAAAGAAAGGAGCACATCACCGATTTCGATAGTCTTAAAATATATTGTAAAGGTCAACACTCCGAACAACTTCTTCCTATGACGAAATTATACACAAAAATATATTCAATATAAAAAGAAAGCCGCATGAACTTATTTCATGAATAAAGATTCTAAATTATAAATGATAAATAAAATATACAGTTTAGATATTATTCGAGGCGACTGCGTTCGGTATCCTGCTTTCTATGTTTAATATAGGCTTGAAAATAAATATAAGATCCCCAATAACCGGTTTCGTACTTTTCAGATACGTTGCACTTACCGGAGCATCTGGAAAACGCTCGACAACCATCCATCGACTCGCGTTAAACGAATTGAAATTTTCTTCGAAAATTACTTCGCCGGAGCAGACGCTGCGTGGCGTGAAATTGTTACTTGTTTCGTCGTAAGAGAATACTTTCGTCTGCGAGTGTACTTTGCAGCCATCGCTAGGGGAGGTGTTCCTGTTCACGAGCATTCCATCGTAATGGTAAAATTCTAAAAAATGAAAGTCGAACGTATACGAGCAACTAAATTGGAAATCATATAGATATTGTGTACATAAAGAAATATACGTCTATGGTATACTATTGTCTGCTATGTATAGAACTGATTCTTTTTCTATTTCAAGGAAACCAACCATTGACCACGTGTTGCTGATCAATTAAATTGTAACCAAGCCCGTTGTAGATCACATGAATCCAATAATAAATTATATCATTATGCTTGAGCCTGGTGCTTCGATCTTCGTACAGCCAACGTCCACCTCGGACTTTTACGATATCTCTAGCAATGGTCCCTGCCTCGAGACCTTGGAAATCTTCGTTGAATTTCACGTGGAAGGCGACCAAGGTGATTCCATCCTCGTCTGATTGCAGAAAGCGTCGTTTATAGTAAAACTATATGTAAGTAATATAATTCCTTGTATCCGAACGGGTCTAAGTTTAACATTTTCACGGGAAAAGCATTTACGATATAATCTGTTGGAGGTTGAATTTAAAAGCTATTTCTGTACAAATTTTCGATTTACAGCTTGACGACACGTGCAGTACGCTTGTTTGCGCTGCATTTTATAGTTATATCTACTTTCTCGACGTTTGGGAATCCCATTTTCCTATTACGACACGTAACTGTAATCTTTGGTTAACTAACGCTAGAAAAATAAGATGCTCTTTTGATCCTATAGAGATTCGACCTACGTTTCAAATGGAATAGCGAGTTATGCATTTTATTGATCATCAGAATCGTTTTCGATCGCGATGACGGTTGTATTGACTATGTCCAGATCGCTTTCATTTGTCAGATATCATATTTCATCGCAGGTAACGGTTCTTTCCCAAAAATGGATCTCTACTGTATCGAATCATAACACATTCCCAGCCACTGACGCAATTTTATGTAATTTTGAAATTTATTGTTGTCGATGGCTTATAGGAAGACTATAATTGATTTCAAATACGAATCGATAACTTCTTATATTTATTGACCAAAACGAAATAAGCAAAAGTTTCTTTATCAGGAATCAAGAAGATATCCTCGATCAATAGAGCTTCTATGGATCGAGGATAATCGAAAATCATTATTTAGTCTGTGAGATGAAACAGGAAAATAAGTTCCCTCGGCTTCATGATTAAACATTCGATCTATTACGAGATAAGCAAACACAAGCTATTGACCACGTGAATTATTCTAACGCAATTCATACCTCATCCACACCTTCTTGTACTTCGTTTTATTTTATATAATTCTTTAAGAGCCTTTGTGTCGCATAATCAATGAGTCACTATACCTCTTGTGAGATGCCTCCTCGTTAATTTTGTCGAGACCATTATCGTAATTCATACTTAAATTACGCTAATACAAGTACTACGTAGTACCATTAGTTTTGAAAAATATAATACATTCAAACAAAATTATAGACTTTTATCAATAACTTTTAGGAATATCCGAATTAAAAATCGTATAAAATTTATTTTTCCTCGAAGAATCAAAATTATTCCAGAATTTAATATAAAAAAAAATGGAAAACAACTGAGATTATCGAAACTATTCATCTTAGTTAATAATCACCTCCCTGCATAAATACGAGTCACAGATCATCATAAAATCCAAGCATATCTCCAACCATCGCGCTTGTTCGATCGTTCGATCGTCCATCAATTGGAACGATACTCGTTCGTCTAACTTTTAATTTTCTACTATTTCTATTTTGTCCAAATGTCGTGAAACTATCGCAATAGCAACTTCCAAGTTTGCTGAAAGGCCTTGAGCTCTTGTTTGTCGCTTAGCTTGCCCCATAACTCTTAATGAATCTTCGCTTAAAACTGGTTTGGGTCACTCTCAAGGCTCTGTTTCCAAGTTCAGATTCGCGGAATGAAATTTTTCACCAAGGTCGAAACCCTTTCCAAAGGTCAGATCAATAATTCTATCTTACCTGCATTATGCCTCGGTTAAAATTTATATAAAAGGAGGAAAAAATCAAAGAACTTAACGATAAAATAAAATTAAAAATGTAATACCGTTTTATGAATACTTTACAGGAAGACGTAAAAGCTGTGAGAAGCTGTAGGTAATTTTCTAGCGTAAATGTAAACAATCGATGGAGGAAAAAATTGAATTTCGCAATGGAAATTATCTTCACGCTACACGATCTGTTGCTTTGGCGCAATACGTGCTTATTTTTTAAACGAAACCATGCATTTTAGTTAATATTCATTAATTTTTTTTTAAATAAACGTGCCTCTTCTAGTTTAAAAATCAAATGCACGTAGATGATAAGAATTGATAGAATCAACCTGTATAGCATAATAGATGTATCACTAGGTATATTTTTACTGTATTAATCGCAGTCAATTATCAATTGGACGAGTGTCGGCAATTTTATGAGTTACGATCTAATAGTATGAATAATTGCTCGCTAGCATTCTTATCTTTGTTTACGTTTTATGAGAGGTCTCCGGGGACCATGCATTATCGAGAACATGACTACTTCAAACCTCATGAAAATTAATGAAAATATACATGAATTATAAAGAAACTATTTTTTTAATGCTCATTAAAATACGATTAAAGCAAAAGTATTTTATTACGCGTGTTCACCAAATAATTTTCTTAAGGATTAAAGGGAATTGATTTGTGTTTTTAATTAAAATTTCCAACGCGTAGTTTTTCGTTTGAAGTTAAAAGCAATTGCCTGGACAAATGATTTCCGGTTTCGATCGTTTCATAATGGTCAACGATCTTCTCTTTACCACATTGACGATCGGTAACGAAAATTCTCGTTCTCGAGCGCAAGCATAATTTTTTTATTGTTTTCCAGATGCTTTTTAAAATAATTAGTGAAATGTAAGATACTGCAGAAAATGTTTGTCCCCATGAAGGGTATTAGATACGTGACAAAGAAACTACTCACGCGGAATGAAGATTCGTAATCCTTTCGGAAAGAGCGGTTCCACGGTGGGAACCGGAGGTTCGTACGCAGCTACATTTTCCAAGATTATGTTAAACAACGAAACGAGAATAAGGATAAACCATTTGCCCGGGAGAGCGTTCATGATTAGCGCGTTTGACGACTCTGCCGGTTTAAGCGATACTGAAGCTCTCGGGAAGCAGCATCCGATTATTGCAAACAGGTTTCCGTATAAATACGCCTACCTCGGTGGCATAAGCTGCTCGTTCTGCCCCATACCTACTACAACGGAGGGGTTTGTCGGATTTAAAGATAAATAAAAAAACTTATTGCTCTTTTTACAGTCTCTTAACAAACCTGAAACACATTAAGCTGAAAATATACAGGATGCTCGGCCACCCCTGGGAAACATTTTAATGGGAGATTCTGGAGATTAAAAAATTAAATTAAAAATTTTCAAATCATTCTTGAAAAAATTATTTTCGATTGCAGGTGTCGATTACAATCATTTTTGGTCAATACACATACCCTCGAATTCCTAACCATTTTCGAGAAAAAAATTCTTTACCGAAAATATACTGTGTGGTCGGAAATGTTTTTATAACTTTTTAACGAAGCCTGAATCAACAAATTAGTATCCTTGATTTTCGTCTTATTTTGGCCTCTAGAATCTCCCATTAAAATTTTTCCCAGGGTTGGTCGAACACCCTGTATACATATAGAGTATTCCAGAGGTACGATTCTTTTTTAGGAATTTCCGGTCATGTAATAAGGAAAGTTTTAATAAAAATTTATCGGTATCGAATGCACAACAAATAACGATAACTACTTTAAGTTTTTCAAATAGAATAATGTGTTTTATTAACATTTTTATTAACATAATTATTCGAATGAAGTTTTACACATCTCTGGGTGGACAGATATTCTGCGTTTGCAAACAGTAGCAATTCCTGTGACTCAATTTAACATAATTTCTAGAATTGCCGGTCTTAATAAAGAGATTGCTCCAATTCCACAAAGTCGGTACTTTCGTTCGTTACCACGTGAATTCCTATTCATATACAGATCTACATATATACCTCGTCTGTAGAAAAAATATACATGGACGGATAATGAGACAAAACATGTTGTGATATTGAATTTCAACGCTATGTGGCGTCTTATTCTCGATTTAAAGAATGATTTCTTAGAATATATATAGCGAGATATGTAAATCCAACGTTACATGGTCAAACAGCTCTCCAAAAATTAATAATATGAATATGATCTACTGAGTATTGCATAAATATAATTGATTTTACGATGTTTTTTTCGTAAAATCATTATATTCATTTTCGTTCGAGTAGGACGTGCGGTTCTACTCAAGGGAATTAATTTGATATTTAGAAGTATCAAGTATAATTCCCACTATACTAATTCAATAATTAATTTTATTTCATATACTGAATTGTTGAATAGATTATATAAAATTACTTATCAATTCTTTATAACAGTCTGTACTGTATTATATTATAACATAATTTATGTATATTAAAAATAAAATTCAAATTAGAATAAATTGAAGTTGGTTAGTCATATTGTTAATATAACTAAATAACAATTTTATTTGTATGTTGACCCATACTTCATTGCAAACAAACATTACAAATTTAATACTGCATTGTATTGACTGTTTAAATTAGTGTTTACTATGACGTGCAATTGAAAGCACATGCGAGTGATAAATTTAAAGTAAAAGTTGTGTTAACAACAGTATTAGATAAACGCGTAATTTAGCTAGGACATAACAAAGAATTTTATATAGCTGCACAGTTTTCACGGTAAATTTGAAAGATTTTATTTCATTAGTTTATCGAAAGAAATGCTCACGCATAACCTTAAAATATACCGGTTGTGCTGTTCATTTACGATGTATTAATCATTATTATGTTATGAATCGTTCTATCAATTATTACATAGAGTATAAATATTTTATTTAACTTTTTATATTTTTATCATTAACTATAAAGTGTAATTCTAAAATTTGTACCATGTCAGTACTATTTTATTGTAACATTTTTATAGATGCTTAAATATCATGAACCAATATCCGCATTTGCTGTGCATGCTATGAAACGTAAAAGTACAGAATTATCTGCAAAGTCAAAGAAATTAAAGAATAAGCATTATCCTCAAAAAAGAGTAACTTTGAGAAATGATACAAAACAGAAGGCTAAGCAAGCACTTTTATATGAAAATTTGAAAGAAACAAATAAATCTGTGGTAAAGAAAGTTCCGAATGTAAATAAAAAGAACAATGTGACATCTAAGAAAACTAATACTTCTGCCACTACCAAGAAGAATAAATCTATTCAAAAACCAGTATTTAATAGAAAAGATAAAAAAGTAACAATAATGTCTAATTCGAAAAGTTTGGCACCAAAGACTCAATTAAAGAGTACTGTTTTAGCAGTACATACAGGTGTTGCAAAAATAAAGCATATTAAACAAAAGCAACAAAAACAAACTAAAAATAAAAAGTTAGCAAACGAAGTTGTTCAACAGCCTAGTTGTCCTGTTGCTGAAACGACCGAAGAAAATCATGAAAATCCTTTGAATATAAGTCGTTCAATGTTTCAATGGGTAATACATCCCATGAAAATAGAAGACTTCTTTGAGTAAGCATGGAATAATTAAGATTCATTATGTATAAATTTTATGTGCTTTAATTGTAAATATGTAATGTTTTCCAGAAAAAATTGGGAACAGACACCGGTTCATATAAAAAGGAATTGTCCCAATTATTATAAGTTACTTATGTCTACTCCAATGTTGGATAAAATATTGAGGGATTCTTATATTCTATTTTCGAAAAACATTGACATAACTTCGTACGAGAATGGTGTCAGAGACACACATAATCCTATTGGTCGAGCAGTTCCAACTGTTGTTTGGGATTATTATGTGAACGGATGTTCCGTTAGAATGTTAAATCCCCAGACATACATACCAAAATTACATTCATTAAATGGTAGGTATTTTTAATTTCGAGTTAAATGAATTAATTTATACATTTCATATACTCCTAGTTAATGAAAACTATGAAATCTATTTCCTGCTTCCAGCCACACTTCAGGAATTTTTTGGTTGCTTTGTTGGTGCAAATTCTTATTTAACACCTCCTAATAGTCAAGGTTTTGCACCTCATTATGACGACATTGAAGCATTTATATTACAAGTTGAGGGTAGAAAGAGATGGCGGCTGTACAAACCACAAAATGAAAACGAATATTTGCCGAGGTATTCTTCGGGAAATTTTGCGGACTCTGAGATTGGAGAACCTATATTAGATACCATTGTAAATGCAGGAGACCTGTTATATTTTCCACGAGGAACGATACATCAGGGTGAAACTATCGATACGCATAGTCTTCACATTACTTTGAGCGTTTATCAAAAAAATAGTTGGGGCGACTTCTTGGAAAAGTTACTTCCAGAGACATTAAAAACTGCCATGGATCGTAACAGTGAATTTCGGAAAGGTCTGCCTCTCGATTACTTAAGACACAGTGGTTTTGTACATTCTGAGAATCAGAGTAAGACCAAAGAAGAATTCAAGGAAACAGTTAAAACCTTTCTTACGAAATTAGTAGACTACATTGATATAGATAAAGCTGCTGACATGATGGCCAAGAATCATATTCATGATTTTTTACCACCTGTTCTGTCAGAAAGGGAACAACAATGTTCCATTGTTCAAGATGGCGAACAAATGACTGCAAATGGAATTGTTGAGAATCGCGTAGAAATAGAACCTGACACGAGAATACGATTAGTAAGATCTCATTGCATAAGGTATGACTTATAATGGTTATGTTTGATCGTTCTTCCGAACGGAATCCGCGGCCAATTTGGGAATGGATGCGGAGTATAAAATTTTAGCTAGATAGTAGGTTAGGTTCGGCCATTTTGTATTTGGTTTGGTTCGAAACGAAAATTTTATATTTATCATCCATTCCCTTTCCAAATTTCATGTCGATCGGCCGTGGGTGACATTTAGAAGAATCTGTAATCCTTTAAAGTTTATTACTTATTATTTACAGATTAGTCAACGAGAATAACACGTTTAGGGTATATTATTCTAGTGAAAATACTAAAGAATATCGCGACTACGAGCCACAATTTTTAGAAGTTGGTGAAATATTTGTGCCTGCAATTAAACAAATGATATTGCAATATCCTGAGTTTGTACGCGTAGAAGACTTGCCAATTGAAGGTGAAGATAATAAGGTGAGTTAAATGAATATGCCAAGAGTTGGTTCAACAGCATTTAATATAATTACGTTTCTTTAACAGATACAAATAGTTAAGGATCTATGGGAAAAATGCCTTGTTGTAACAGACAATCCATTAGATGCATTGGAGTAATTGTAAATTTTATTTTTAAAGATTTTGTAAGAAAATCGATGAAAAATTAAATATTAGAACCTAAAATTTCCGGAATCATTTACTATTCTAATATGATAATTAATGTTAAGTGTGTATATTAACAAATTATTTAAATACACATTTTTAACATATCGTATACATTTACACAAGTGTTTCTTAACCTTCTCCTTTCCACAGACCCTGCTGGCAGACCTCTTAGATTAAAATTAAATTAATACTTTTTTAATATATTTTCAGACTGATTTTTAAATGAATGTATTTCTGTTTTAACACTATGCATTTAATTTGTATGATTTTATATCCTTTAATTTGAACTTTTTATTCGTTGTTTATTAAAGCAATGTATAAAAATAGCTATGAAGAAAATTGGCAAACTTGCACGAGACTTTTAAGTAAAACAGTTTTATTGCAAATACGTTGTAATTTTTCGATTAGAATTTAAATGGTTACGCTAACGTCGAGACGATGCAAGTCCAAGTAGTATAAGGAAAGGTTGAGTTGGAAAGAAAATGTTTAGTTAGAAGGGTTGATATATTGTAATATATTTTGGTAGAAGAAAACAGTTTTTTTATAAAGAAATCGATCGAAAGGAAAGTATATCTTTTTTCATACACATTTTCCGTAGATGTAAATTTTTGTTGCGTAGGCTCCTTTTTTGTTTCTCTTAATGCACTTTGTTGATGAGAAACTTATATCGGATTTGAATTTTATTTTCCGATTCTCAGATTAGTATCCCTCTTAGCTTGAGCAGTATGATCTCTTTGCCTTCCGAGTACGTATTCGATGTATCCAAGATATCCATCGTTATCTAGATCATCCTCCTTCAATACTTTGTCTATGAGATCTTGATAACAGCAAATAATAATCATTATTGTTTCACATTTGTACAATTTGAATTTAATTAACATGACATGGTTACGATTATCACTATTTCTGTCGTAGTTTTATGCATACTTATTTCGACCGAAAGTTTAAATAGAATTAAAAATTTTAAAAGGTGTCTTTTAGTTGAAATAGTGTTAAATATTGTTATTTATATCAGTTATGGTGTAACTGATTTTCGTTGGCAATTTTATAATAAAAAGTAATAAAATGTAAATGTTATTAATTGCTAAATGAAATTAAAATTTTCGTAATAACATTTCCACCGATAAAAGGTTGATTTTATCAATGATAAGACAGTACATTGTTATCCATGTTTATGTGACTAGTAACCAACTATATTCCAACTAAAATAGAACGTGATTTTATATACACGAAAGTTTGTTCGTTCAATTTATTTAATTAGTATAATAATTTTCTCCTTGTTTCTATTATAGAGTACGCAAATTCAAATAGCAGTTCAAGGCCACTGAAGGGCTGTCCCTAACACTGGGTGTCCCATTTAAACCTTTGGACGCAATTGTATCCCAAATTATTCGCTATTCCAAAAAATATTTCAAGTAGAACTTACTACTAACTCTTTTTTAAATGGAACTATAATTGAGATACAGGGTGATAGCTACCCCTGGGAAACATTTTAATGGGAGATTCTAGAGGCCAAAATAAGACGAAAATCAAGAATATCAATTCTTGATTGAGGCTTCGTTAAAAAGTTATTAAAAAATTAAATTAAAACTTTCCAAATCGTTCTGGAAAAAATATTTTTAGTTGCGGGATTCGATTATAAGCATTTTTTGCGAATAGACATACCCCCGAATTCCTATGCATTTTCGAGAAAAAAATTCGGATAGGTGCCTAAATTTTTCGGCGAGAAAAAAAATTTCAAATCGTTTTGGAAAAAATATTTTTAGTTGCAGGGGTAGATTATAAGCATTTTTGATCAATAGATATACCCCCGAAATCCTACGCATATTCGAGAAAAAAATTCAGTATGGACGGAACTTCAAACATTAATAACTTCTTAACGAAGCCTCCATCAACAAATTGGTATTCTTGATTTCCGTCTTATTTTGGCCTCTAGAATCTCCCTTTAAAATTTTTCCCAGGGTTGGCCAAACAACCCTGTATAGTCTAATTGCTTATAGTGTAAAGGGTTAATGTCTAATCAATTGGTCAGTAAAATACTTCCAGACTGTGCTTATGGCATCAGTTGACATTAATTCGACCGTGTGATCATCATAAGGCATCTTCCTTTAAAGAAAATAAATTCTACTTAATACATTATTTTTAAATAATACATCATTTGGGAGATAATTACGTTTGAATGTTTAAACTGGTCAGTCGATATAGCGATGTTTCATCGCTCTGTCTTTCGTTGCTTCTCTCAAATATGAAAGTATATAACGATACCGTAAAAATGTAGGTACTTTTGCACGTCGTGACAATCAGGAAAGGGATCTCGAGGACCAATTGAATTTTCGTTTGCTATTGTAAAGCAGATCGGTATATTTCCGTCGTTCAATTCTGGTACATTGTATGTTAACGAGAGTAACCGAAAACTAAACGCTTGGTCTGTTCTAGTTATCGAAATAGCGTCGAATTTAAATTAAAAACGATAAATCTACATACCAACAATCCAAGGCAGATCATCTTCGTGTTTCGCGTGTTCCGCCTCCTCGATTATACTTTCACGTTCAGCGTCGGCGAGTCGATTTTCATGGAACGTATGCTGAATAGCATGTAAAATCTCCAATCCGTCCAATTTGGCATTATTATCAATATCGTGAACTCTGCGAGTAACACAGTAATTATAGTACCGTGATTAATGTAATTGTTAATGGTAACGGTGGATAATAAATTAATCCTTTCAGTGCTGGTTTTGGATGTTGGACGATAGATTTATCGAAAATTTGCATACATACATGGAATTAATGTCGCAAATAGAAACTTGATTTATACGTTTCCAACAACACGAAAAGTATTTCTGTGGCATTAGGAGATAAGAATTTCGTTAAATGCTCGAACATACTTGAAGTAGTGGAATTCTATTTCCTGTTCAGTCATGTTTGTGAAGTCCAGTTGATCTGCCATGGATCCCATATCTTCTTTCAAATGGCTGAAATTATATACTTATATTTCTTATTTTTATAGGATTCTCAAAATAACTTGTGTTATATAATTTTATATTTCGACTAAAGACAATTGGACTTAAATCGTATTACTATTTTTGGAGAACAGTAACTGTACTATACTATATTTTATAAGTTATCATTTAAATAAAATTGCGATGTAAATATGACGTTGATCGTTGCAATTTCATCTCAGGTATTAAATATTTATATAATAATACAAGATGTAGAATACTTAGAGTTGAATACGATCGCGAAATTACAAGTTGAAAGATAACTAACGTAGCATCCTGCAGAAGATTTGCATCCTGTGTTATTTTAACGTTTTTCTGCGGAGCATAATGGTGATGAGAAATGGCGCTTCGTGGATGATGCGGGCCACGAAAACCATTAGAGAATGCGATACATAGACTGATCAGAACTGTGGTTATCATTTGCGCGCCTGAAACAATTTAATAACATGTTTTTTTTAAATTTTCAGCGAACTGATTAGAATTACTCTACGCGGAGGAGTTAGATCGAGCAAACGTGTGGGTGGAAACGTCACTTTGGCTTGTTCTGGACAACTATCTATGGCTACCTTCGGTTATTATACAGGGTGTAACGGAAACAGGCGGTGAAACTTTTGGAGCGTGGTTTACGCTTCTTAAGGATAAGTAAAGGTTATACAATTTTTCTTTCTGAGAAACACTTTTTGTTTAGGATAGAGTTTCGCAAAAATGTCTACTAAGTTCTTGTTCTTTTATTCACGAACATTGAAATTATTATACGTTGTATTAAGCATGTAATTTATCAGGTTTTATTTAATAGTTTCCCGTTAAACTGTTTAGATGATTCTATAAGAAAATCCCATAATTCCCAAAATTAGTAGAACAGTATTAGTATTTTTTACAGACAGATTATCGGTAGATTTCTGATTCATAAGATTTATGCCGTTTTGTGTGATAAACTTGAAAATACAGTGATCCCCGTATAACTGGAACGATGTTTCCCCGGATAATTGAAATTATCTTCGCCATTGTTTACGCTTATACAACGTGAAAGATCCGTCGACTCGCGCAGCCGACGGTTCCAGTCGAAAGCAACAAGACAAAGCAATTTTTTTATCCAAATGAAAAAACAAAAAGTGTTCGTATCTTATAAATTTATTTTTTTATTCTTAAGTCGAGTACTACGCTCCTAAAGTTTTAACACGTTGACTGCCATGATGGCCACTGGTGACCGACGCTTCAAACTTTTCACTAATAAAACAACACACCACTGAATTATAGATTATCTCTACATTTGACACTATAGTTTAAACAAATGTGGATATCTTTAGAGACGGAAAATCGACAGTCATCGTGTTAATCGCTTATTTCAATTGTCTCATTAACACCAGAATCGAATTCCATCACTGGTTTCAATGGTCATCAATTTGTTACAATTGAGTAGCTTTGTTTTTAAACGAATATATTTTTTTATTCAAATGCATGAACGATTAATGGCGATACGAATGAATCAACGATACTTACTTTATAAACTGTAAAATTCAAAGTCAATTTCAGATTTTCAATTCTACTTTCAACGTCCATTCGAATGGAAAGGACAGTTCGTAATCTCGAAAACAATGAGCAATATTTCCGCCGACGAGAGCTACAAATTCAATTGCTCAAACGCATACTGTCCAAACGAATTAATTCCATTTACCGTTAATAATATGGTAAACGTTGCATTTTATAGTACGTTCGAGATTTTACAGTATATTTTCGATCCCTTTTACACGCGTAAACGGGATGTGCGAACGTGAAAGGAGGTGACAACTGACGAATGACACTACACGACATTTCTTACTATGCCCAATGACAATAGGACCTGCTGGGACACTTTCATCGCCTGTGTTGCCGTAGTAGTGCCTATTACCACTTCCAGGGGGTTGAACACCCCTTAGCTAGCGACAGATGGGCGGTAGAGGGAGTCCCAGTAATTATTATGCGATTACCCACAAGCCCATTGATTTAGATTGGACCCGGGGGGCGCAGTGCACGGCACTGGGCCCGTCTTCAAATTTGCTACGCATCACTCGTCAGGGACTTCAATAGATTTTCAAGAAGGCACCAAAGAAGAGGTATGTTACTTTTTCAAAAAGAACATTACATTAATATTTCGCTTCACGCAAAATAACGTTTCTATCCAAATCTATTTCACGAAGTATTAAAATTATCGAGATTTTTCGATCCTTCTAGCTTTAAACGTAAACGTAAACTCTCGATAGGTTTTGCAAAGGACAATTATATCGAACAGAAACACCGGAAATGAGATAGATTTTAAGGATCGTAGGTAGAAAGCAAACCGCTCTGTACGAGGGTTGCACACCAGTTTTGGAAGTTACGTAGCTATTGGAGGAGCGAATAGATAGTGTCACTTTTTGTCGTGTTTGTTCTCGAATTTAATACTCGACGCGTTGTGTACGGAATAAACGGAGATAGGTGTTAAAAAACACGCAAAGACAGATAGGAATCCGGGGTACTTACGAATCAATTTTATATAGGCTTACGGCGGTTGAGTGAGAATGCATATGTTGAGGGTGCCTCAAGGGGCTTTCGATGCAAGTGGACCCCCCGGGTACGCACCCCCAGTTGGAACAGAACACTCTCGGTCCCCCTTCCTCGCTTTGGTGTCGAAATCTATAAATAATTTATATCATTTGGTCCATTCACCGAGAGAGCCCATATGTACCTGTGTCGCCTTACAGGGGATCTGTGACCAGTTCAGATTTTTCAGAACGTTATTAAGAACCTTCGATCGGAGTCTGGTTATGTTTGCTTTGCAAATCGGGGACACCCAGTAAGAAGCAAAAACATATAAAATTTCATTTAAAATAATATTTCATTCAATCGTGGCGTACGACACGAAGTGAAAATAGCTTCTCAAGCTAGATCCTCGAGCAAAAAGAATCGTGATTTCATTATTATTTTAGCCTGTATGGATTTTTTTTTAGAATTTTGGGAATCTATAGTCTTAAACACAAATGTTGTCGACGACCACTTTTCGTAATCAAAACTGTATATGTACTATATATACTATATACAGGGTGTTCGGCCACCTCTAGCAAAAATTTTAATGAGCGATAGTAGAGGCCAAAATAAGACAAAAATCAAGAATACTAATTTGTTGGTGGAAGCTTCGTTAAAAAGTTATTAACGTTTAAAGTGCCGCTCTTACTGAATTTTTTTCTCGAAAATGCGCAAGATTTCGGGGGTATGTCTATTCACCAAAAATGACTGTAATTGAACCCTACAACCGAAAATAATTTTTCCACAACGATTTGCAATTTTTTAATTTTCTCGAATAATTTCACACCTTCTCTATTTTTTTTCTCGAAAGTGTGCAGGATTTCGTGGGTATGTCTAATGACAAAAACTGATTGTAATTGACCCCCGCAACCGAAAATAATTTTTCCACAACGATTTGCAATTTTTTTTCTCCGTTGAAAAATTTAGGCACCTAATTGGATTTTCAGTAAGGAATTTTTTACTCGAAAGTAGATAGGATTTCGGAGGTATGTGTATTCACCAAAAATGATTGTAGTTGCCCCCCGCAACCGAAAATAATTTTTCCAGAACGATTTGAAATTTTTGAATTTAATTGTTAATAACTTTTTAACGAAGCTTCCATCAACAAATTAGTATTCTTGATTTTCGTCTTATTTTGGCCTCTACTATCGCTCATTAAAATTTTTGCTAGAGGTGGCCGAACACCCTGTATACTATCGTAGTTTCTTCAGTGGTAGATATCAGAGTACTCGAGTCATTTGGTAAAATATGTGTTCAATAATCTTTTCGTAGCGTTTGATGATGGGATTCCCGGTTTCACGAGATTCTCAAACCATCTGAAAAATTCTAGGTGTTTATACAGTACAGTATTACTAGTATAAATTGTGTTAATTTTTACAAGTGGATACGTATATGTAATATATGAGATGATCAATTGAATCTATTCAGAAAGGGCCAATTTGTTGAAAGAACAGGGCTTGAAAAGGCTTAAATCGCCAGTATTAAGTATGCAAAAGTGTATTTGAGATATTATGAAGACTAAAGGGCTTAAGCCTCTGAGAAATTAAAAATGAGTTGGGTAAAATTGATTCCACGTAAACAAAGTATCAGTTAAAATAACAAGAACAACACGATCGTTGCATTTGTCTTTCGAGAAGCCATTGAACAAAATATCATTTACACGTGTTGTATGTGTTTTCTTACGAGTGTGAAATTGATAAATACTTGGATATTGAAATAAACATTTGCGCGTGAAACGTGAAAAAAGCGCGCGACGTACGATTCAAGAAGATCTCAGTCTTTTTAAATAAAATTGCATACGAATATGACATTACATAAACAAAAGAATTTTCTCAAATATCAATTATAAGTTACATCCAAATATTTATCATCGTTCGATAGGACTGCAAACTTAATATAACAAAAATAAAACAAATCGATAGTTTTGAAGGCGAAGACAATTGTAAAACAATTTACAGCCACGATCGAAGACTTAAAAGTCATATTTGAAAAGTTTCAAACGACCTGGGAGGATCGAAATCGGGGGTTAACGTTGTATATTTGTCAATTTTCATAGAGTGGGACTTGGCTTTTCTTCGATCGTTAAATCTATCCGTACGAAAGGCGTATCGAGCGACGAGTATATCTTTAAATAAACCGCGCTGTTTGCCTTTCGATATCTGGCATCCGAGACTATCGGAGCGCGATCTTTGGCGCACCATCGAGAAGGGTAACTACCCTCGTATCCGCTTCAGCTCGAGTTAGGTTAGACTAACCTAACGGCGAGACGAAGCCGGAGTTTTCGCCTTTCAACTCGATTCGAACGGGTTCACGTTCGCGTGGACATATTTTAGAGTATAATGGGACTTTACCTGGGACTCGACGTGTTCGATCGGCCGATTATCGATCCTCGAACGTGACTCGAACTGCCCGTTCAACCTTTTTTCGTCGATCTTTCGGACGGTGTTTTCGACTGGGCTTCTCCTCACGGGGAAATCGCGTGACATTTATCGACGTTCTTCGCGGAGTTTGCGTATTCGAAGAGTTGCTCGAAACTGTTCCTCCCTCGAGCGGGTCACTCGGCTTTCGAATTTTCTAAATAAACGAAAAGGAACGCTCCAAATAAGATTTATACGCTACAGCCATTCTGCTTGCGTGAAAAATTGTTAAGTCGTGCCCTTACGCGATGTAAAGAACGCGTATACGAGTTATTAAAACACGATGATGAAAGGAACCGAGGGTATTTTAGTTATTTAAAAAATTATAGCAGTTGAGGGGGTTAATTTGTCGAGCAAAAGTTGCACGATAGACTGTCGTTGCAATGGTAATGATTATTTTTATATGTTGCTTTTAAGATATAAAGATACTCGGTTCTTTTTTTAAATGGGGTAGTTTTATTTTCACCCTCCGATAATAACGATTAAGAAATATGATATCTAGGCCACTTGAGATGGAAATGGTCGAAATCTAAATAAAATATAAACGACTGCTTATATGTTGTTTGTATAATAAACTTTAAAATTGAATGAAAGAAATTAGAGAATGCAACAATAGCAAATATAAGTAACCTATTGTTTAATGAATTATCTATATAAAAAATGGTAAAATATATACAATATATAATACTTGAACCAATTAAAAGGAGGGTTGTTTGTATAGCATTAATAAAATATTTAGTATATTTCTGATTTTATTAAAATTTAAAAAAAATTATAGTTGATTCAGAAGATTTTCTTATATAGATCTTTTTAAATTTTTAAAAATGAATAAAACCTATACAATCTAAATATAATTAACATTGGCGAAAATCAATATATTTAAAGTTATATTATTCGTTGGAATAAGTGACAAATTAAATATTTCTTATTTCATGGAAAAACTCTTTTCTCAATTTTTAATAAAATTTCGATATTATATTTGTAACGATCATTTGAATTACTAATGATATTCAATTAAAAAAACTATAATTTCTTCTGTTTTTGAAAAATTATATATTCAATTAAATTAATTTTATTCATTGGAAAGTGATAAAATGCATTTCATGTTTGCCACTAACTCTCTATTTTGTTATTTGGTTAAAGTTTCAATTTTCATTCAGGTTAAGAAAAATAATCAACAAACATTTATCGTTAGAAATGGTTAGTATAAAATTTTCGGAAGCATTTTGATACAAAATTCAATATATTTTACATTGTACTGGATGCACTTCATCACATAAATTGCATTATACTCCGGTTTTCTATAACGCTTCACTTTTTCGGATTTTGAGGCGCGTTGAAGTCCATCAAGATTAAAATTAATTGAAAATTTATGGGACAACCCCTTTTCACTCGTTTATTTTATTAAACTTTCATTAATAAAATTACAATTTTGCCTTTCAATTTCTTATTATTGTTTAAATGAACATTTATTAATACAAACTGTTGCTTAACAATGGTATGCTGTTGTTATTCATCAACAAAAGAGTATCGAAGTAAAAACAATTAGATAATCAAAAATAATTATAAACATTTCGTGCTTTTCTACAGAATATTTGTCCATACACAGATTGCATCTTTTGTCATATTTAAGTAACATTCATTTAACATGAAATAGTATAATTTTCAATAAAACAAACATGTCATTCTAAAGGGTGCTCCATAACTTTTGAACGACAGTGTCTATGTTTATTCCTTGTTTAGTTCTGCATATACTACTATCACAATTAGGACAGTAACGCGTTAAACTCCATTCGTTCCCTAAGGACCAACACTAAACTTTCCATTTGATCCTTGGGAACCAACAGTATTAAATTTAAAAAATAATACTTCACAATTCATGCAACACTAAAAAATAAGTTCACGCTCTTTTGACGGATTGAAACAATTTAAATAGAAACGAGTTAATCTTCTTTTTGTTTGCCTTTGTTTACATAACTTCTTCAGAGATACTAACGCAACACGAGTGTCTTTAGTTTTCAAATTATTATAAATATCGTAACATCGACGTAATCGCTAAATTTCCAAATAAATGATGCAACACTGTTACAAAATCGATGGAACTTTTATTTGTTTCAAATAGAACGAATTAATTTGTATAAAAAAGATTTCGAGGTTCGTTGAACACGTTGTCGCGGAGCGTGGTTTCCGGCTTGATTTAATAAGGGTTCTCTATGTTTAGAACATTAGCATGAATCGGTGACTTGAGATTGTTGGGTCGATGGTTCGATTTTCGAAGTTAGCGCGGGAGATTCCGCCGAATCGTTGTCGAGTTGCTAACAATAAGACCGAGTATCGCGGACGGGATGTAACCCGAGCAAGATTGCTGAATTGCTACCCTGTAACACGAACGATCGACGGGGAGGAGCGACGTGCGTCGAGACACAACACCCAAATCGTCGTATCTTTGCCAAATAGGGTAAAGGACCCATTTACTGCCACCTTAAACTGTTTCACGTAAAATACCAACCGAACCACTCGAAGTTATACACAAAAAACACTCCAACATACAATGAGCACAATATGATAAAAAAAGCAACACTCAATTTTGTCGTTATTACTATTTTTTTCAAAACGATAACAAATTATATGTTTTACACTATTATTTTAATAAATTAATACACAAATTTGATTTTTGTTTGGGGAATACATTATTCTTGAATTATTAAATTTATAAATGAAGATAGAGATATTCAAAATGGCGATATTTTATACCTCAAATTAAAAATGTTGGATAATAGCAAATTGGGAAAAAAACAATTATTTATTTATTTATTTACGGACACTTGCAGTGCAAAAGTATTGATCATTAATACACGAATTTGATTTTTGGTTTTGGGGAATACATTATTCTTGAATTATTAAATTTATAAATAAAAGATAGAGATATTCAAAATGGCGATATTTTATACCTCAAATTAAAAATGTTGGATAATAGCAAATTGGGAAAAAAACAATTATTTATTTATTTACGGACACTTGCAGTGCAAAAGTATTGATCATTAATACACGAATTTGATTTTTGGTTTTGGGGAATACATTATTCTTGAATTATTAAATTTATAAATAAAAGATAGAGATATTCAAAATGGCGATATTTTATACCTCAAATTAAAAATGTTGGATAATAGCAAATTGGGAAAAAAACAATTATTTATTTATTTATTTACGGACACTTGCAGTGCAAAAGTATTGATCATTAATACACGAATTTGATTTTTGGTTTTAGGGAATGCATTATTCTTAAATTATTGAATTTACAAATGAAAATAGAGATAATGAAAGTGGCGATTTTTTTAATCCCAAATTGAAGATATTGAAAATAGCAAATCAGAAGATTTTTTATTCTAGATCAGCACAATGGGGTCAGACGATAAAAGTTCACAGGGTGTTTCGTAAACAGTGTCGAGAAAATTTTATTTGAGGCAAAACTGTTCATAGAATGTAATGTAAACTGTGTGTATAATATTGACGTATATTTTTTTTCAGGTTTCGTAATTCTCGCCAATCATCCCCCCACCCCTGTGGCCCTTCCCCTGGATCCACCCCTTCACCGAAATGGGAACCACACGTTATGAAACACTCTGTATTTACATGGTTTAGAGAAGGTATACAAACTAGACATATCGCACCGCACGATTTGATTGATAAACCACAAAAGCCAGAGGTGGCCGCATGCATTTCACCGCGTCGCCTAATGGTGGATTTTCTCCAAACAATACCATTTTAAAACACGATGAAAATCCTATAAATACCTTAACACTAAATGTAGAAACTCGTTATCTTGACATCTCCATTAAAACGTGGTTTTCTTTTAGTTAGGATAAATGTCTATTGCATCGATAAAAGTCAAAATAAATAATATTTACGAATCTGAATCAAATTTAATCGAATTGACGAGTTTCGTAAATCTAGTTCTATAATTAATTTTCCAAAAGCTACAGAGCGCACTTAATATGCAAAAATATAAGAAACACTTCAACTAAGATACAAATTATTATACTTAGGGGTTGAGACAACCCTTCACAAAGTTCCCACTTCATTAACTCTATTAATAAAAATATGAATTTGCCCAGAGACTCACAGTCTGTTTATAATATAAGTGAGTTACAATATTAATTGTCAAGGATTGAATAGTACATGAATAGAAAATTCTTTTATGTTTTCCAATGGACTGTTGGAATCTCTCGACCCTTAAAACAAGAATAAAATCAAAAACGACGATAGATCAGTTACAGTTTCTTCAAGAAAACAATATTTGTGAACATCTAAACATACTATAGGATCCCTAACTCCCATTTGGTGGAGTATTTTTGCGAAAACATCGATCAATTTTAAAGAGTCGTTTCGAGAAAGATTAAGAACCACTGTTTGGTAGGATTGGATGCACAAAGAGGAAGAAGGGTCGTAAGCGGAAAATGAAAGAGAGACACGTGTATGGACGATCGAGGGGCCAGAAAATAGCGTGCACGCATTTGCGTTCATAAGCCCCGAAAGCGGTGAATGGCGTGTTCGGAGGAAAAAGAAGAGGCAACCAAAGCACGGATGGACAAAAGGAAAAGACGAACAACGAACAAGGGTTGGGAGGGGGGAGGGGGGAGGGGGGGGGGAAAGTGTGCGAAAATGGAGGCAGAGATGAAAACAGAAAATTGGACAGCATGTGTACAAGGACCAAAGAGTCAAAGAAAAAAACAGAAACACAGGAGGGCAGGGGGGGGGGAGGGGGGTGAAGAAGGGGGAGGGTGGGTGGAGGGTTTGGAAAGGGCAGGGATACGAAAATAGAGAAAGAGGGGGCGAAGAGAGATGTCCGTGAAACGGGAAAAGAGAGCGTAAGAGGGAATAGACGGGGGTACGCGTGTTCAGAGAGAAACCGAGATGGAACGAGGAACTACGAGAACGACAGAGACAAAACAGGGGGTGAGAGAGTAAGCGATAGCGAGAGAGCGAGAGGAATAGGGTACACGGATGGGTCTCTGGTTGCCATGACGACTA